GCGGATCGCGGCCTCGCGAGTCGCGGTTTGACAGATAACATAACCTAGAAATCGCGATCGACACTGTTTACTTTTTCCGCCGTTCCGAGAATTTTTTTCGTTCAAAAAAAGGAGAAAAATGATTTCGCTTATCATTGCTCTCGTATCCTGCACTCTGCGCCAGTCATAAATTCAATAAATAATGAACATTATCGTAACCGTGAACCGTAGATTTATATATTTGTCGATTTATCCACCTTTTGGATGGTATTATTTAGCGACAAATCGACGAATGATAAATTTAATAATTTATAAGAAGATAAGAAGAATATGAATTAAATATCGGTAATAATTATATTGATAATAATAAATATATAGTAATAATATATAAATTGAATATAATTATAATAATAATAAATAGAATAATGAAGTTTATTACGCGGTGACAACAGTAAAATATTTTCGCAAAAACACATTTTTGCGAAAGAAATTCTAGCGACGAGTTGCAAGTAGTACGAGTACCTAAGTTTAATACAATATAATGCGACTAGTGATTATAATACGTGATAATTAAATATAAATATCGTACTACTTTCTTATGTAAATAAGCTTTTTTTGATAAAAGCACGCGGCTCACGAAATTCCATTCCCTACGTAGTTTTCTTTTTTTCAATAAGTTAATTAAATTGGAAAAATATCCACGACCGAAATTATAGTTTATCAGTCGCCACTTTTTGAGAATCTTTTTTTCATCATCGTCGCGGTTTTTCTTTTTTTGTTAAACTAAGAACGATTATTGAGACATAAATACAATACACAATAATGTATATCTAAACGTAATAATATGGAATATATTACGGTTAATAGACTAGCGTGGCTCCTTTTTATTTATTTATAAATTTTTTTTTTCTTAGTAATTGGTTTATACGTGAGATCATTGCTGCGAGCGAGTTTGGGTCAAAATTTTTATTATTTGTGGCATAGGACTCGCACGTATTTTTCTTTTTTCACTCCACTCTTTTTTTTTTTAATTGTGCGCTGCTTGCATTCCTGTGCGTTTATTTTCCTCACTGGATTTCCTTTTATCCTTGAAAATGAAAAACAAAGACAGATCAAATCTTCCGAGGGACTAACGTGCCATTTTTTGCTTTCAGGAGAACAAAACTGTTTTCTTGAAATTTGATGTAAAAAGTTTCAAAGAAATTGGTTTTTTGAAAAAAATTGGTTTTTTCTTTGAAACTTTTTATAATTTTTTTTTCAAATATTAGTTAAAAACGTCACATTTAAATAGCTAAAACAATTAGTCTAGAAAACGGGAATGAAAAAACATTCCCCAAAGAAAAAGACAAATGTAAAAAAAAAAATTAAATGTAATTAGTAGATGGAGTCAAGGAGGAAGAACTTGGATAGGGCGAGAGGCTCAACTGAAATAATCGAAATAAAACAAACAATTTTTCGAACCAAACACAAATCAGTTTAATCCTTAAATAAAACATAATTTCTGTTATGTTATATAATAATAATTAAATAAATAAATAAATAGTTGGTAGTAGTAGCGACAGTAGTAGTAGTAGTAGTTGTAAAGTAGTAAGTAGTAGTAGAAAGTATTAGTGGTAGTTTTTTTTCGAATCAAATGAGTAAATTTGTAAATTGTTATAGAAGTAAGTAGAGTCAGAACTGCATATTCTACCAATTAATAAAATTAATTGTTTTTCCGGATATCAACTCGAAGGCGATATTTGATCATTATTGTAAATTCTCCTAGTCGGTAAAAATATCCAAATAGTGACAATAATCAGTCGCCACTGTGTAACGCACTCGAGCTTACGAATTTTTTTTCCAATTTCGCAAACACAACATAAATATTTCTGATTTGCACTTGAGTCTTTTTTTTCAATTTTTTTTCTTTTTTTTCTATCGCTCTTGCTCGACGATACGTTTCACTACTTGGTTTCGAGTGAAAATCGTCACTTAGTAAGAAAAAAAAAAATAATTAACACACGATCACGCGACGACATCAATAATAATAATAATAATAATAATAATTAATAAAGTAGCTACGTGTAAAGGCGTTAAATAAATAAAATCAAGTCTTAGAAAAATCGATTACTGGAATTGGATTGGAAGGCGAAGAGAAGAGCTCTTTTTTCTCTAGAAAAAAAAATGTTTTTCCTTTCAATTTTGAGTTACAAAATTCTCTTCTCCTTCCGGACTAGACACAAGGTACGCATAATAATTAAGAATACATCGTATATCGCGTAATCAAACATGTATGAATAATAATAATAATAAGAATAATAATAATAATAATAAGAGAATAAGTCGCCCTATTGTCAAAATTGTTATGAATCAAATACAGTTTTGTCCCGGTTTATTTGAAAGCACTGAAACTATATTCATATACATAATTATATATGCATATAATAAATATATTTTTCTTTTAAATCTGGGAAAGTACTCGCATTCGGGAAATCGATTTTTTTTTATTGCAAATATACTTCTTTTTTTTTGCAATAAATCCCAAAGTACTGCACCGAGAGAGATCTGTGTGAAATTGATAAAAAATCCGATTTTCATTTAAAAACAATTGTTATAGAAAATATTCATTTTCACGGACAGAAAAAAGGAGTTTACAATTTTTTTTTTCCTTTAAAACTTTTTTCAGTTTTGAAGGAAGAAATATAATATTAGAAAGATTAAAATCTTTTTTTCAAATAAAGTCAATTGTAAAAATTATTCTTAAACTCCTTAAAAAAAAGATTTTCGATTTTTTGATTTTTAAATTTATCAATTCATCAATTTTTCGATTTTTTAAATTTATCAATTTATCAAATTAATCAATTTTGATTTTTAATTTTCTGCCGTGTAAAAATTGATTTGTTTGTAAATGAAAAAACTCCGGATCGGAATTTTTTTTTTAAATAGATAAATATATAATATAATATGAAATGTAAAGAGAAACTCTAAGACTTTTTTTTTCTTCCTGAGGTTCATAAATTTGAACTACGAAGAGACTGTCAACGACATTTTGGGCTCGCGCCTTAAATTTACTTTCTACATACTACCTCGAAAAAAAAAATTAATCGCGCATCTAATCGATGCATATCCTAAAAATCTATCGTCGTTAATTGCGACGCGACAAGAGATCGAATACACAGTCGTGCATCACATCTGCACGAGGACTAGACGGAGACTGGTGATGAGCTTTTACTTTTTCAATAAAAAAAAAAAAAAACAAAAAAAAACAAGAAAGAAAGAAAAGAACATAAGCCTCTATATATAAATCTAGTCACTACAATTAGCTACATAATTTTTTTTTTCCTTTGAAAAAAATTTCTACACTTCTGTCAAAAATGGAAATTTTCCAAAAAATTTTTTTTTCAAAAATTCCTTCTTTAAAAATTTCTTTTTTAAAAATTCCTTTTTTTCAAAAAATTCTTGTTTAAAAATTCCTTTTTAAAAAAATTCTTTTTTGAAAAACGTCCATTTTTTACGCGCTAAAAGAAACACGCAGTTACAAAAAAAAAATCAGCACAAATGACGGAAATTGATCATAAGAGATTATAATTCTAATAATGATAGTTTATATCATAATTTATCGCATAGTAATTAAAACTCGTAATAATTAATAAAACCGTTAAGTTTCATTTGTCTGACTAGGTGGGGGGAGGCCTCTACAATAATCCCTCGGGGGTAGAAATCGATTTAAATTGAAAATTCCCCAATTACGCAAAAAAGAAATTCCTAATGTTTTCTAATTACGTAAATTGGAATATTTTCCCTGTTCTCGTACACAATTCGAAAATTGCGTATCTAAATACAATTTAAGTACACGCCACAAATTTAATCTTGTACTTTTTTTTCCTTTTCCTACTTTTCAATTCTAAGTCCTAACACATTTTTAGAAACTAGTTTTCTCTTTTCTTCTGACTTTGGTAAAGAGCTGCCTGTCTTAATAAATTTCTAGAAAAAAAAAAGAAAGTCTTCCGTGCGAGTCCTGCTCCGAGTCTCAGCTAACGTCGCGTGTGCCCCTACAATCTAGATTTTTCTTGACTTAGTAATACCTGCATCGATACAGCCCCAAAAAAATTTGAGAAACAAGACTCTCTCTGTGTTTTTTTTTTGTTTTGTGTAGACGACAAAATCGGAATCGGACGACCCGATCTCGCTCTCCCCATCCCTTTACCTCCCGTAACTAAGTTTTTTTTTCAAAAGTCTTGATCTGAAGATCGGAGACCGCATCTCTCACATTTATAATACTTAAAACAGAGCATTATTCTTGCACTCGAATTTTTCTCTCATTCATCTCATTCATACTGTTACAATATCTTGATTCAAATCGATTCTCCTTCGAAATTAGCTTTTCTTTCGAGATTGTGACTTTGGTTATTTCGGACCGCGAAAATTAAAAATCGAAACACGCCAGGATCCTCCCTCTGTGCGCTACTCTTCTTTTTTTTTTTTCCTCCAAACGGTTTTTGTAGAGACAAAGAGAAGATCTTGGAGCTGTGCAAGTGGACATTTAAACCAACAAGCAGCAGAAGCTCTAGAATTTACGCTTTGTCTTTCTGTATTTTTTTCGTTGTGGCCGTGGCCGTTTTGTCCTTGATGAAGGACGATGGCTGCTGTTGTTGTTGTTGTTGTTTTGGCTTGAAACGATCTGGGAATGGCCACCTGGGAAGTGAATGGCCAGCGATCCAGGGTGTGGGATGATGATGTGGATGATGATGATGGTGATGAGACGGAGGAGGTGGAGGTAGGGGAGGATGATGTGGCAGCCGCTGCGGGAGGAGCTGGCGACTCAATTTGAATTGTTTGGCGGTTTGGAGGATGACGTTGCTGATGCTGCTCACTTGATTATTCCTTTTGGCGAATAGATGAGCGGCCGCTGGTGGAATCGGCGGCGGCATTGGCGGTGGAATTGGCGGCAACTGCAGGGATGCTGGCAAGAGTCGATGATGATGATGATGATGGTAGTGCTGCTGCTGCTGCTGTTGATGGAAGGCTATTACTTGCTCGTCCTACGCAGCTTTGCTCTTGTTTGTCTTGAAGCTGACTTGAAGTACTCGATTGCCGAGAGTGTAACCGTTGAGACTTTGAATTGCAACAACGGCCTCCTCGTAATTGGTCATCGTCACGAAGCCAAAGCCCTTGCATTTGTTCGTCTGCAAATCTCGAATCACCTTCACCGATTGGACAGCACCGAATGGGCCGAACAATTGCCAAAGAACATTCTCCTCGGTCTCAGGCGCCAAATTGTAGACGAAGATGCACCAGCCGGATCCGTTCATCGCATTTCCGGGCAGCATTGAATTCGCAAGAAGGTCTCCTGCCAGCGGACTGTACCTGTAACATCATTTAGAGCACTCTGTCAGATAACTTCAAAAATTCAAACACATTGCCTGGTAATTAAAATATCTTTCAATTACTTTTATTTCTGAAATGAAAGAATTTTTTTATGCTCTTGTATTTTTTTCTCATTATAATTTTCCTCTTTTTTTCTTTGTCATTTTTTTGAAGTAAATTCTTTAGTGCGCATTATTATCTACTAGCATTTTTCCTCTTATTTTACAGAAATTCCGAAAGACAGAATTTTACATGTTTTCTTCAACCGAAATTTCTCTTTTGCGAATTTTTATTTACTATAGTAAATAAAAATTCGCAAAATAATTTAAATTAGGTAGAACCTTTAAAAATAATTGAAAAAAAATTGAAATTTGGTTAAATCTTTGAAAAATAATTTAAATTTGGTAAAATATTTTAAGAATAATTAAAATTTAGTCAAATCTTTGAAAAATAATTAAAATTTGGTAAAATTTTTAAAGAATAATTGAAATTTCTTTAAATCTTTGAAAAATAATTGAAATTTGGTAAAATTTTTGAAGAATAATTAAAAATTTTTTAAATCTTTGAAAAATAACTCAAATTTAATAAAATCTTTTAAAAAAATAATTTAAATTTGATAAAATATTTTAAAAAGTAATTTAAATTTGGTTAAATCTTTCAAAAATAATTCAAATTTGGTAAAATATTTTAAGAATAATTAAAATTTAGTCAAATCTTTGAAAAATAATTAAAATTTGGTAAAATTTTTAAAGAATAATTGAAATTTCTTTAAATCTTTGAAAAATAATTGAAATTTCTTTAAATCTTTGGAAAATAATTGAAATTTGGTAAAATTTTTAAAGAATAAATAAAATTTTTTTAAATCTTTGAAAAATAACTCAAATTTAATAAAATCTTTTAAAAAAATAATTAAAATTTGGTAAAATTTTTGAAGAATAATTGATATTTGGTAAAATCTTTAAAAAATAATTGAAATTTGGTAAAATCTTTTTAAAATAATTGAAATTTGGTCAAATCATTAAAAAAAACAATTTAAATTTGGTAAAATTTTTGAAAAATAATTGAAATTTGTTAAAATCTTTGAAAAATAATTGAGTTTCTAAAAACTATTAAATTGGTAAAATCTTTTCAAGAATTTTAAGTAAAAAATTTGAATATGATTATTTTCTCCAAAATGTTAAAAATGATTCTAAAAAATGTTAATGATATGAATTTTGTATTCTATTTGAATTTTCAAAAAATGTAGGTAATCGAAAATATTGAAAATAATTGAATTTTAAAAAATTAGAATGAAAAAATTCGGAAAATTAGTTTTTTTTAAAAAATATTTTAATATTATTTTTACAACTTAATTTTCATTTTTATTAAATTTACTCTTGAAGATTTTTCATTAAAATTTTTGAAAATTCAATTATTTCCAAAATTTTCAATAAAATTTTTTTTAAAATTGTAATAAAATACTTGAAAAAAATGATTTATTTCCAATTAAATTTGACAAAATTTCAATTATTCAAAATATGTTTAATTGTATATTTCAAAAATTTAATTAGAAAAATTATTCAAAAATAAATTTTCACATCATGAAAATCGAAATAAGTTGCATTTTTTATACTAAAAAATATGGAATTTTGTCGCTAAATTTGTAAGAAAAGTCGATTTCTATTTGGCAAAATGTTCAAAAGCTAGAAATTTCATTTAATATAATTTTTATTTGACCAAATTGTCAATATGAATAATGCGCCCCTTCAAATTTTGCAAAAAATAAATATTTTTCACATTTTGAAATTAAAAAAAAAAATTTCTTCGAGCAACAAAAATTCTTTTCCATCACAGAAATAAAATGATACAAATAAAATTAATATAAAAATAGTGCCACATTGCCAATCCATACACCTTTCTCTTTTATACTTACTCTTTTGAACAAAAAACAATTGCTAAAAAATGTTTTGAAAATTTGACATGTAAATGTTTGATGAGAAGATTAAAATCAACAAATTAATGAAAGTGTACAATTTTTGATACACAAAAGTGAATTTACTCTCAAATTTCGCGCTAATTTTTTTCTCAATATTTATACAATTCGTTAAAATGACAATATTGAATTACTTTTCAAGACTTTTTTCTGAAATTCGACGATAATAATGAATTTACGGATTATTTAATGTAAATTTAAGGAAATTGATTGTAAACATTTTTTTTCAGATCAGGCAATTATTTATATTTGTAATTTAAGAATTTGGTGTAGGTTTCAGGTACAAGAGAGGTCATTGTAGCAAAAAAAAAAGTAAAAGAAAGAACGCTTCAATTACAAGCAAATATATGAAGAGAAAAATAGATTTTTACTATTTTTTTATTCAAATTAAAAATAGTTAAAGAGAATACTGACGAAATATTCAATTATTAATAGTTACAGGCTTTGTACTCGATAATTAATTTTTAAAAAAAATTTCTAAATCAAATTATATTCAAAAATAGAATAATTATTTTTTAAATAAACATTTAAATTTCTATTCTTTTTTCCTCAGGAATTATAATATTTAAAATTATTTAACTGTACAGCTGTTTTGAAATTTAACTATTTCTAAAAAATTACAACTGTAATTCTTTGAAAATTCAATTATTTCTTAGAATTTTTGAAGAAAATTATTCAAAACTTTACTCATTTTATTTTAAAATAAGAATTTAAATATTATTCGAGTTTTACAACAATTATAAATTATTTCTAAAATTATTTTAATTTAAAGACAAAAATAAATTAAATTTATTGAATAATTAAATATTTCTTAAAATTTTAACTGAAATTCAATTTTAAATCAATTCTTAGTAGAAAGTTCTTTGAGAATTCAATTATTTTAATTTAAAGACAAAAATAAATTTAATTTATTGAATAATTGAATATTTCTTAAAATTGAATTCTTTCGAAGCATTTAATTTAAATTTTCAAAAAAAATATGCATTTTTCAAAGAATTTCATAACTTATGAAAATAATTGAATTTTTGCAAAAAATTTTATCATTTTTTTTTTTTTTTAAATAATTAAATTCTTTTGGTGAACTTTTTATTAAAATCCTAGATATTGAAAATAATTGATTTTCAAAAAAGGTTTTGAAAATAATTCAATTCTTTCAAAAGAAATTTAATAAAATTAAACTTGAAGAATTATTGCAGTTTTCGAAAAATCAATTTAAATAATAAATCGTAAAAAAAGGAATTAAATAGTAAATATTTTAGTAGATGAGTACGAAGCCTGTAAGTTAATTCAAAAATTAGCCAATTAATTAATCTTTTTTGTAAAAAATTATAATTTTTTATAAAAAAATTTAATTTTTTATAAAAAAATATAATTTTTTATAAAAAAAATTATAATTCTTATTTTATAAAGTAAAAATCGACTTTTCTTTTTCAATCAATAAATAAAAAAGAAAGTCACACAGGGAATAAGACTGACAAACATGCTTTGAAACGAGAGAAAGATGTACATAATATATTATAGTAGAGTTTCGAGAAGAGGCGATTAAGAAAAGAAGAATGAAAAAAAAATTAGATTAATTAAAGGGCTAAAGTTGCACCCTTTAATTTATACTGTTAGTAATTAATTTGAGAATACAGACTTGTGTTTACACATATTTACAGAGGTATGGAATCTACGTACCTACTTGACGTCACAAGCCGCGTTAAAATAGGGCACATCTCGGTGAGTACTTAGTTTTTATTTTAATTTTTTTTTAATTTTATTTTTTAAGAAACCGAGAATCTTTTTCAATTCAAATTTTTAAATTTATAGATTCAGGGTAATTGTTAATTTATCAATATTTTAAATAATTATTGATAATTTTAACAGACGCGTCGCAATGTGACTTATTTTTTTTTTTTTTTTGTGCAAAAATGTTTCCAATGTAAATGATTGCGAACGCGTTTAATGAATGAAGAATTGCGGAGAAAATATTGTCCTACAGAAAATGTGGTACGAAATATTTTTTTATAGATTTATAATAAAAAATATATTTTTTATATTTTTTGATATTCATTTATTAGTCATTAATAAATATTTATTAATTAACAATTAACAAATTTATACCAAAAATGTATATAACAAATTTATATCTATTAATTTATTAATAAATTAACAAATATTAATTAATTGAAGGAAGTGAATTTATCATTCGGTAATTAATGTTTAATTAAAGGTGGAAAAAATTGTTAACATCTTCCACCTTTATTTAAATATTAATTAACTTCTAAGCAAAAAATTAACAAATATTAATCAATTAATAAATAAAAAATTAATAAATATTATTTAGTAAAGAAGAAATTAATAAATATTAATTAATTAATAAATCAGAATTGATTTTTAAACAAAATTATTTTTAATTCGTTTCTTTCTGATTGGATAATATTTACTCCTTTTTTCAAATTCTGTGAAATAGAAAAACAAATTTTAAGAGCCAACTGATAATCACACAGTTACGAAATCAAATTATTGAATTTTTTCCTGAAACATAATTTTTATTTACATTTTTTTTTTGAATTTTTAGAAATTATTTAAATTTATTTTCTTTTAATATGAAAATTATCGACAGGAGATACGAAATAATTAATGTGCGAATATTTGAACGAATATCAGTCAACTTTCAAATTTTGCTTTCAAGACAAAAACCCATAAAAATTTTTCTAAATATTTTACGTATTTTTCTATTATTATTTACAATAATTTACGCTCTAAATCTGAATAATTTTTTTTGAAATATTGATTAATTCCGATTTAGAGAGTATTAATATAGGTTTTTAGTCTGTAAACAAGAAACGATTCTCTGGAAAAATGAACTGAGAGATGTGAGAAGAACACGAAGCACAACTTTTACAAAAAGAAACAATTATTACGAATAATAATATACAAATTCGTAAATTTAATTTAATTTTTTATTAATATTAAAATAACTTTTTTCAAATTCAATTAATAATATTTCAATAGAATATTTCTTTTGACATTTTTTCTAAAGTTTAAAAGTTGATTTTTGTTTTCTATCAATTTGATTTATTTTTTTTTCAATTTGATTTTTTTTTCTCAATTTATTTGATTTTTTTTCCAATTTGATTTATTTCATTCAATTTGAAATTATTTATTTCTTCCAATTTATTTGGTTTAAATTTTTTTTAATTTATTAAAGAAAATTTGTTTTATTTATTAAAAAAAAATTTTTTTTTATTTTGAAAATGAGAAAAGTTGTGCAACGTGTTAATGATTAGAGAGAAAGAGATAGAAAGACAAATTTTTCGAAATTGTCTGACAATGTCGAAGAGATCGTGCACCTAGCCTCGCTCTGCTCTACACCAAACCATTAATTGTTCACCAATTTTTGCCACAATAAGTAGCGCATTGTTTATTAAACAACAATTTTATATTTGTTGTCCTTTTTTTACAGGGGCGTAGCTAAATCATAGAATAAAAAATCGATTTAAATTTCTACTCATTCGTACCAACCGACAATTATTTTCTTCTATTAAAAAGCATTTCGATTTTGCTTTCTCGAAATAATTTTGCTTCGCTCCTGCGTTATCGCCATTAACATATTTTTTTATACATAATTATAATTTCTTGAGTTTGTGTATCGGACATTTTTAATACAAAAAAAAAACTATTTTCCCCTCACAAATTCATGACTTTTTTTCCTTCAATTCAATATTGAAGGAAAATCAATTTTTGTTTACCAAAAAATTGTTCTTTTTAATTTTCGAATGAAATAAAAAAGGAAAGAAATTTTTACTCAACAAGAGAAAAGATAAATTTTTAGTTGCTTTGTGTTGGGAATAAATTGTAAATAGTGCTCTCAAAAAGGAAAAAGATTTTGCGATGAGACAGAGAGGGGAATGATTGGTACACGATCTCGATCGCAGTTAATCGATCGAGAGAATCAATCTTGAAGAAAATCGCATGCTTCAACAAAAAAAATGTTGGTACAGTGCGAATTATTAAATTATTATTTTCTCTTTCAAATTAATTGTTCTCCAATCGATTCGCCAACCGACTTCAATTATTTTTTTTTCTCTGCCTATCCGACCTAATAAAATGTCCGTCTGTACAATCCATTTGCTTTTCCAATTATTTCATTTTGTGGTCATACAATTTATCGAAATAAAAATAATTTAAAGAAACTATTCGAAAAAAAAAATTAAAAATAGAATTGAAATTCTTAATTTCTTCAAAATAGGTAGAAAATTAATTCTTTTCCAAATAAAAAAATTAAAAAAGTAAATTAATATTAAATAGTTAATTTAATTCCTAAATTAAATAATAATTTAAAAAAATTTTTTAAAAATAATTAAAAATAATCGAAAATCTCAATTTCTTCAAAATAGAAAATTATTTCTAAATAAATTTTAAAAAATTACTATTTTCATCAATACTTTACAATAAGAGAAAAATTTTAATAATTATCATTAGTCTTATTAGTTGCAAACTATATTTTTATTCGCAAATCACTGAGAAAATTGTCTCACATTTTTTAAAAAAAAGATCTTAAAAAATTTGCCACTCAAAAAAATAATTTTTCAATCAAAATTCTTTCGGATGAGTACGAGGACAATGTAGATTAGTCGAGAAATAGAAAATGAAGAAATTAGAAGAAAGTAAGTGAAATGTTTTTTTTTTAAATGAGTGAAAGGAATATTTTTTAAAAAAAATATTTATGGAAATTTACAGAAAGGTATATGATAGAAAGAAATAAAGAAAGTCGAACAAAAAAATAAACAAGCTGCTCCAGAAATTGGTAAAAAAGCAAAAGAAATTTTTTTTTTTTTGAAAAATAGTAAAGAAAAAAATACTGACCTCTGTAAGCCTTTGTTAATGGCAAGAATGGCCTTGCCAGTGCTAAAACAAAACACAAAAAGAACAACATAAGAGAAGATTTTCCCAAATATTCAGCCAAAAATTGTGCCTTTTTTAACGCACTTGAAAAAAATTGGAAAAAAATGAAAAAAAAACACTTTTTAATTAATTTTGAATTTTGAAAAGGTGAACCCTTAAAATAGAATTTCCCTTAATTTATTTAAAAATGGATAAAGATTCGTATCCAACTTTAAATAAATAAAAATTGAATTTGATTTAAAACTGAAATAAGTTACAAGTGATAAAAGCAATAAATTAAAAAAGAGAGTAACTAAAATTGCAAAAAAAAATATAGAGAAGGCTTTGTACAATTTTTTGGATGTCAAGGTGTGAAAAATAAATAAAAAAAAAATCAATTAAAACAAGCAGGTTTCAGGATTTCCTCACACTCATACTTTTGCTCTACTTCAAATAAATTGTTTGGAAGATTGTTCTCGTCTTATTATTTACCAAAGAGTTGAAATTACTTTTCAAGGACATACAGACGGACTGAATGCTTGTGTTTGTGTAGGACGAGTTTATATTTAGTAGCTTTTATTATTTATTATTGCCTTGTTCCTCCGAATTTCGATATCAAGGTCCACATTTTTCCACGGAATTTCCCTTTCTTTTTTTTCGAGTAAATAGAATTAAAATGGAAAAAGGATTTTTTGTTAGTTTTTCTTTGTACATTTGGTTATAAAGCCTCGAGTTTTAAATTTTGAAAAAAGAAATTTAATTTTCTTTTGAAAGAATAAACGAAATTGAATTTAAAAAAGGGAAACCTTTTTTTGAACTTCTTTTTTCAAAACGAGGTTTAATTTTTTTAAATTTCTTTCTCTTTCAAAAACAGATTTTTAAAAAAAATAAGAAGACTTACAAATTTCAAGAAAAAGAAAACTTTGGAACTCACTACAATTATAGGAAGTTAGTAACATTTTTTTTGTATTAAAAGTAAAAAAAAAAAAAATACAAAAAAAATACAAAACAAAAAATTACGTCAAATAATAATAAAAGCGTTGGAAAATGTGTTCCATTATCAATATTGCCAACTTTTATCTTGGAACTGATTTAAAAGACGGAAGTCGCTATCCAAGAATAAAATTAAAAGCAAATATAAAAGTGACGATAATTTTAATTTTTGAGAATCTTACTCACATTTTCGAAATTATATTGTTGAAAAAATTGATATTGTTGTAAAAAATTACCGAAGAGAGGGACAATATTAAAAGATGAATATATTTTTGAAAATATATTCATTTTTTAATTTTCTTACCCTCTTTTTTACACGAAGAGAAACATATTAAATTTTGTAAAATATTTTAGAATTTAAGGAAAAAATTCGAAATTTTGATGTAAAAAATACTAAAATTCAAAAAAACTTGTCTGAAATTTAGTAGTTCTGCCAAAATTTCGAAAAACTGCGAAATTTTGGTGTAAAAAACTCTAAAAGTTTAAAGAAACTTGTGTGAAATTATGTTCTGCCAAAATTTCGAAAAAATGCGAAATTTTGATATAAAAAATACTAAAACTTTAAAAAACTTGTCTGAAATTTAGTAGTTACGTCAAAATTTGGAAAAATGCGAACTTTTTATGTAAAAAAATACTAAAAGTTAAAAAAAAATTTGTATGAAATTATTTTTTGTCAAAATTTCGAAAAAATGCGAAATTTTGATGTAAAAAATACTAAAATTAAAAAAAAAACCTGTCCAAAATTTAGTAGTTCTGACAAAATTTCGAAACAATGCGAAATTTTTATGTAAAAAATACTAAAGTTTAAAAAAACTTATATGAAATTTAGTAATTACGTGAAAATTTGGAAAAAATTCGAAATTTTTATGTAAAAAATACTAAAATTGAAAAAAACCTGTCTGAAATTTAGTATCTCTGTCAAAATTTGGAAAAATTCGAAATTTTGATGTAAAAAATACTAAAAGTTAAAAAATTAAATTCTAATTTTGCTTAATTAACACAAGTTTTTTTTTAAAAAGTATTTTTTATCTAAAAATTCTGCTAAATTTTCTTACACTTTTTCCCAAAATTGTAAAATACTTTTACAGGATTTAACACACAATTCTCTCTCCGTGTAAACAAATTTCAATATTTTTCGTTAAAAAAAAAATTATTTTGAATATTCTTTTCAATTTTTTCATAAATTTCTCTTTTCATTCTTTTTAATTAATATTAATTTCCTTATCCAACAAGCATCGAAAATAAGGAACAATTACTTTTAAAAAACAGCTAAGAAAATATTTATTACCAAAATTAACGATTTTACAAAGTGTAAAAAGCCTTTTTAGAAAAGGTTTTTTGTTTCTTTTTCATCAATAAAAAATTTTTTTTTTAAATACATTTTAAACTCTTAATATTTTTTTTTATCAACTTTATAATTATTAAAAATGTTCCCTGGAAGCCCAAGAATTGAGTGACAGCTTCTAATGAGTTCTCCTCTTCACCATTGGGAACCTACCAAACAAATTATCATCAATATCATTTTTTTTCCAAGAATAAAATTTGGAATTTTACAACGCTTCCAGGATTTTTGACTTATTAGAAAGAAACATTAGGGGATTATTAATTATTTAATTAACATTAAGTAATTATTTAATTAACATTAAGTAATTAATTAATTAACATTAAGTATTATTAATTAATAAACATTAGGAAAAAGTAATTTCTTGAATAAAATTGAAATTAAAAAATAAAAATAAAAATGACAAAGAAAAACAAACATCCTCCATTAACTCTGAGTACAATAATTAGGAATACTGGAGAAAAATGGCCTTTAAAAATTGTCAGATTGAAAAAAATGCCTCGAGGAGGATAGGCAGTGATGTAATGGCGAGAACAAGAAACGCGAATTTTTTTTTTGTAGGAACGAAGAGAGAGAGATGACGTTGATTTTAAATAAGCGATCGAGCGCCGGTCCCATCGATTGCAAAACATCATCATCAAATCTTCATCATCAGCATCAACATTATCGTAATAATTTTTCTTTGATTTCCTGCTTTTCGTTTTTGTTTTTTTTCTTTTTGGGTAGAGCGAGTAGAGGCGAGTAGGTACCTGGATAGTGGCGACAGTGGAATGTACCTGAAGCGGCCGGTTGGATGGTGAATTGGACCGCCGAAACGGCGAGTCGCCTGTGGTGTCAAATATGCTGCCAATGGCGGGATTGCCTTGTTGTTGTTGCTCGGATTGTTGGCAAATTTAACCGTGATTGGTTCCGACGAACCCTTGGGAATGGTCCCGTTTAGCTCTTGTATCGCGCGCTCAGCCTCCACACGTTGATCGAATCTTATGAATCCAACGCCTTTTGACAGACCTGCCAAATCCGACAAACAAATATCTTTAACGTTACTTCATTTTTGCCGGCTTTACCAACTGATTCTTGATAACTTAATTCTAATCTCACCAAAGAAGAAAAAATAACATTCTCGTCACTTATCTCATTTTTCTTTTATTTTCAAATTTAACTCCAAAATTGACAATTACTCCAAATTTCAATAATTATTAAATTAATTTCCAAATTCTTTTTCCCATGAAAAATAAGACAAGTGCGAAAAAAGTTTTTTCTCCATTTCCTAAAATTTCTTTTTACTCATTTTTTTTTTACTTAGATCTTAATACCGAAAAGTTCAATCGATGACTAATTATCAAACTGCTAGTTTTGTGGAACAAAAAACGAGTGGCTCGGTGCGCACATAATCGTTTTCTCAAAAAAGTACTTTTCGCGTGAAAACGAAAAAAATTCAATTAAAAAAAAATCTACCTTAGCAAAGCGAAAATAAATCAAAATTATGATAGTGTATCATTAAATCCCATGGCATTCGAATAATCGATTAAAAGAAAAATAATAAAATATATATTCTACATATTCGAATTTACTGAAAATTTATTACTAAATCAATTATAATAATAAATAATCAAAAATACTGAAAATAAACCAACAATTAAATGTACTGAAAACAAAGTAATTAAGAAAAAAACAAATTTTTCGTGAAATATTTGTACAGATATTTACAGCAATAATTTTCGTGAATTGTGCTAAATAATAATAATAATAATAATATTAACCAACCAATACAAAAAAAAATTAAAATTTCGTGTTCAGCTAGGATTAAAAACAAAAAGGAGGAAAAGAAAAAATTATTTTTACGTACCGGGCAAATTGTCTCCGCCGCCAGTCACAAACTGTCGTACTAAACAGAAACGAAAAAATCATATCTCGATTAAAAATATACAAATAACACGAGTTGCTCGCCCCTGATTCGTCGAGAATTAAATTTAAAAAATATAGTTAAAAAAAAGCTTTAAAAAATATATTTAAAAAAAAATAAAATAAAATACGAAAAATAAAATTAAAACTTTCTTCGACTGTTGTGTGTCAATTATAAACGTTTTTTTCTCTAATTAAAAAAAAAAAAAAAAAGAAAAAAGAACTAAAACTACCAACGAATGAGAGGCAAGCGAGTCTTTCTGAATTGTAAAATTACGATCTACGCTCCTTAAGCATTTCTAATAATTAAAAATCAAAATAAATTTTCTCCTTACTTTTAAATTTCAAAAATTCTAAAAAAAAGTTAATATATCTCATTCATTTTTATTCAATTAAAAATATTGTCTTGTAAATGTTGAAGGAACGTAGTAAATAACTTAAAAATAATTTTGTTGTCGATGAGGCAGAAAAACGATGAACAATTTTGTCAACCGAAATCAGGAGAAACTGAGAATTGAGATAGAGAGATAGAGAGAAAGAGAAAAAAGAGAGAGAGATAGAGAGAGAGAACTTTGAAGGATAATTAGTAACGGTAAAGATGGAGACCATGAGGTTGTGTATAACTCAAAAACCAAACAAGCACTGCATAAACGCAAGGGAGGAAATTTAAAACGCAATTATCACGTTTGAGCCAACTGAAAAGCCACATAAGGAATTAAAAAAAGAGAAAATAAAAAATAGAAAAAAAAACGGAATTTTATACCAGGAAACAATAAACATGTGACTTTGTTTGCCTTTCATTGGAAATTATAATAATAAATTATAATTTAAAAAATCATTTAAATTTTAGATAAACGTCGCTGTGTTTACAGGCCTCGGTTCGACTTTAAGGCGCAAAAAAATTCGCTTCAGTCGATTGAAGATTCAAAAAAAAAAAAAAATCTAAAAAATCGTTTCTTTAATTTAGTGCTGTCACAAAAATTTAATTTCAAATTTTCCTGATTTTTTTTTAGAACTTTCGCTGTTTCCTAAATTCAATTAGGTATTCAAAAATTAAATAATTTTGTTATTGTTAAATAAGAAAATTTTAATATTTATTTTCCACATAAATCTCTGAATCAATAACTTTCAATAATTTTCAATCTCTTTGTAGATAATTATATTTATCTAAAATATAATTTTTTAAAAATAATTTAATTACTTAAAAGAATTTTTTTATTATTTAAAAAAAATTATCGATTTCATGAAGAATTTTAATTACAATTACATTATTACAATTCAATTATTTTAAAAATTGACAATGAAAATTTTACAAAATTTGACTTTCAAAATTATTTAAACACTTTGTAAATATATATTTCGAAAATCTAATCTTATTAGGTGTCGAAAAATTTATCAAAAATAAATTTTTGAAATATTTAACTACAATTATTTTTCCACTATAAAAATCGAAGTAATTTTCATTTTGCATCAAGAAAGTAGAGGTTTGTTGTAATATTTGGAAGAAAAGTCGAAAAAGTCGCATTCTCTTTTTAAATAATTTGAAAAAAGTCGCCTTTTCTGATAATAGTGATAAAAAAGTCAAACTACCCGAGGCCTGTGTTTATAAAAAACAAAATTGTTTGAAAAAAAATTGAAATTAAAATTTCAATTTATTTTCGAAAATAAGGTTCCTTTTCTTAATTATTAATTGCGATAATTACGCGTCCTACCCCGAAAATTCGCCATAATTACAAGTATATAATAAAAAAAAATTGTATTTTATAACCAAAATTATTGTTTTTCAGTGTTAAGATGAATTCAGCTCAATTTTCATATTTCTTTTTGTATTTTGAAGTTTATACATATATAGTAATTAATTAAATATAAATTATTATACTAATGATTGTAATGATTAATTAATTTTTTGTATTGTATTAATTAATCAATTAATTTGTTTCTTTATTGAATAAATTAATTAATCAATTAAATTAATTAATTTTTTTGTATTGAATAAATAAATTAATTAATAATTATATTAAAAGAATTCAACTTTTCTTTCTTCACTCTCAAAATTAAAAATCAAATTCTGAATTCATCCTCAAACGTGAGCAAAGAAAAAAAAATGCTAAAGGTCGTGTAGGTTTTTTTTTTTGTTGAAAACCAAGAAAATTTTTTTCAAAAACCAAGGTGTGAAAAAAAAGAATCGATTATTTCTTTAAGTTTCCACTTTAGTAGAAACTATTTTTGGTCTCTTTAAACTCATTGGAAAGAAAAGAGGCGCACCGACCCACCCCCTTATCAAGCAACCCCATGGCCTACTCACCTACCCTTATCTACAAAGCGCACCTTTTGTCACCTTCTCTCTTACAGCGAGTGGAGAATCTCGAGTACTGAAAACTCAGTACCAACAAGAGCTTAAATGGCACTTTTTCTTTTTTTTCTTTTTTTTTACCGATTGAGAAATTTCTTTTTTCCCCTCTAAACAAAATATGAATTATTTCTCAATCTGTCGAGAATATTATTTTACAACAAGTTGTAGTTAATTTCTCTTTTCAATTTTAATTATTCAAAATTATATTTTATTTTCTTTTATGTATTTTATTGTATTCAATAAAGTGTCATTAATAATAAAGTATAATAAAGTACATTAAAGTACTTTCAATATCATTATCATGATATTAATTATAAGAAATTCAGCACTGAATTTAAATATTACAACGAAAGTTGGCGGAGAATTTTTTTTAATTAAAATATTTTCGAAGAATTCTTTTTCAAAATTATTCCTACGATAATTTTTATTCAGTGAGAGAAAAAAATAATCTAGAACGGTATTTAATTAATTTAATTACGTATTAATTAATTACGTATTTAATATTATCCCAAAGGTCGTATTCGAATTATTTCGATGTTTGGCTTCTGAGTTGAATTTGGAAGAAGTCTTAAAAAAAAATGTATGGAAAATTTTTTGTCGATAATAGAAGAAAAAATTATTTTCTTTTCTTTTTTTTTTTTTTTGATTAATTTTTTCAGACGCAAAGACAAGCCTTTTTTCTTGAAAAATGAAATCGAAAATTCATTTTGAGTGGTAAACGATTGACAGTTGAGAAACGACTTACCAGTGATGTTGTCACAAAGGATTCGAGACGTAATGATTCTTCCATAAGGACTGAAAAGATTCTCAAGATCTTGTTGTGCCATATTTTTTGGCAAGCCGCTCACGTATAAATTAGCTCCCTTTATCGCTTCGCTGCTCGGTCTTGCATATGATACCTGCGAAAAATAATGCTTATCAATTTTTGTTGCCCTTTGACAAATACTTAATCTATACATACTTTTCTATAAAAATACTTTTCTATTCTCTATATTATATTTTTATCTATGAATTTTGGATTTTGAACTAATCTATTTTTGTTTTATTTGAATGAGTTTAGGATTTTTATTATTGAAATTTAGAAATTTACTTCATTATTATTTTTATTGTTTTGACAATTAAAATAGAAATTAAAAAATGAAATACAATGAATTTATAGTAAGAAATTTGAAAAATTCAATTAAAAAAAATAATTATCTAAATAGTGGAGAGAACTATTCTTCACTCTATAAAAAGAAAAATGCCTCCTAGGAGAAAATTTATAAAGCAAATATCGCTCGACAGTTAAATTGTCTTATCAAACAATCCAGAATTAAAGTTCTCTGGAAACTACGCCAAATCTTCACCTTGGAAAAGTTGGCGCATTAAATTGGCTAAAATATCGTCCGTTGCAAAAGTCTTTTATTCGCTCGTTTGGCAAGCAAAACGCATTTTGTCTTAAATTCAAATAACACAAAATTCCTTCACATTTTCTCTCCTCATTCCCTTCGCGAAAAACTTAAAAACCAATTATTACTTCCATAAATTTCAAAATTCAATCCCTAAAATGGATAAACAAGAAAAATATCCCTCTAAATTCAGAATCGAAATTTTTTTAAATTCATCCACTTAAATAATTATTTATTATTACTGAATAATTAATTATTACTAGTGTTTATACTAAAAGTTCCTCCCCCGTAAATTGATTGATTCGACAAAATCAATTGAATTGAATTGAATTTTAAATAATGACAAAATAATTAATAAAAGTTAATTAATAAATTATTTTTCATAATTACACGAACCTTGATCGTTTTATTTTGCAGACGAAGACCATTCAATGTGTTGATGGCCTTATCAGCGTCTTCCGGCCGATGGTAATTAACAAATCCATAGCCTAAGCTTTGACCTAGAATAAAAAAAAACAGATCAAACTTGTATATTAAAAATTTATTTTTTAAAAACTAAAATTGTGAAAAAAAATAATAATAAATAATCATTGAATTTAAGCAGCATGAATTAGTATAAAAAACATTTTAAGAAAATTATGTATATTATTAAAAATGAGAAGAATTTCAAAGAAAATATTTTGAGGATGATTTTTCATTGATTCGGGGGCTTGAAAAGCTCTCGAATCATGTCACCTAAGACATCATTGGAATTTGCACTCATGTCGAGAACATCGACTTGGCTAAAGCTTAAAAGACGAGTGATGAGTGCGAATGACAAACGCTCCAGAGACAAATTACACCCTAGAGGTGTAAAATGCTTGTGACAATTTTGATGACGGATATTTCCTTACAAAATTTTTTTTTTCTTTTACTTTTTTTACAGGATGGAAGCGAAAATGTAAATTGGATAATTTTCATTAACTAATTCTAATTTTTTTTTCTTAATGCAATTTAAATTCTAGCTATTTCCAAGAGGCCAATTCTGCAGATTTGCAAACTTCGGGCTTATTTGAAGATTTTAATTGCTGATTTTCACAAAATGCATTCTTATTGAAAAAGAATGGCACAATTTTTTTTTTTTGGCAAAAAAATATTTTTTTTATCAAAATTAAATTAATATTTTTATGAAAACGAAAAATTTTTCTATTCAAAATATACAAATATACAAGTTTTTAAAATTTTAGAAAATATTAACGAGACGGAAAGTTAAAAATATTAACGAGTTCAATTAATAAATAATTTAACAGCAAAAAACTGAACAAAAATTAAATTTTCTTTTTATTCTCTCGAAAAATATCAAAAAGTAATTAATAATTAATTATTTCTTAGGTTCTTCAAGAATTAAAAATCAATTCCTCTAAATTTCTTTGAAAACTCAATTAATGGATTTTTTTAAAATTTTAATACAAAATAAATAATGTAGAACTAAGACTAAATTTCCGGTAAAAGAAAAAGTTATTTGACATTTCTTCAAATAATACAGAAAAGAATTTTTTATAGAAATTCAAAAATTCTAATTTATTAATTAGGAATGATGGATAAAAAAAATGGAATTTTTGTTATAAATGAAAAGAAGTTTCGAATCTTAAAGCTATTTTCAAAAAACTCAAAATTTATTTCCTATAGAATTATTTCGAAAAGCAAAATTTGAAACACGAGATTTATATTCACAGCTTTTCTAAGGATATCAAATTGACGTTTTCGAAAAATTATTTCGAAGCAAACGCTTCGATACATTGCCTCAATTTAATATTCTTAGAAAAAGTGTGATTAAAAAAATTTCTAAAAACAAAAAAGAAATTTTATTTCTTTTTTTTTTTGGAAGAATTTCATAAGATTTAAATTTTTGAGTTTTTTTTCTAAAGGTTGTTAAATTATTTATTAATTGAAAGAAAAATTGATCAAATAACACACGAAATTGAAATGAATAACAAAAAAAAAAGAATTAAACTAATTGTATAAAAAATATTTGGTCCTGTTTTTTTTGTGTTTGGAGAGAAAATCAGGAAGAGTTTTCAACTATTGTGAATTGACTAGCGTGACACCTGCTTTGAATATTACTTAATCTTTTGAAGCTTGATGTGGTATAAGACCAGCATAAAGGCGGTAAAGCTTCGATCCAAACGACGCCCCCACGCCAATGTGCCTGAAAATAGCGTCGCGACGTCTAACCCACGTGCTGACGCACTCGTACTGTAACACACAAGAATTTATACACAGACGAAAATTACGCACTGCATTACGCATTTTCACTTTTTTCATTTCTTCAAAATTTTCTCTCTAAAAAAGAAGAAAAAAAAAAAAACTTTTCAATTTTTAGCTTTTCTTTCGAAATTTTTCAAAATTTGTAACTTACTTCATTTCTCTACTGAAACTAGAATTGTGAATTTACAATTTTAATTTTAAATTTCAATTATTTTGAATAGAAAAATTTTTGAAAAACAAAAAGTAGAAAAAAAGAATAATTTACCATAAGGCTTATACTTTGTCAATAAAATTTCATGAAAGAAGTGAAAATTATGTATAGCAAAAAAAATTAATTTCCAAGAAAAGCTCATCGATTTGATTTTATAACAAAGTGCAACGGACTATTTTCATAAATTTGATACGGAGCCAAATAAATGCGAGTTACAAGAAAATTTATTAGAAACGACAAATCCTTTGAGATTTGTCGACTCTTAAAAAAAATCCTTCAGTAAATGTGAGTTTTGCATTTATGAAAGATGAAATACCTGACTTTCCAATAAAACAATAAAAAATCATTCGAAAATCAAAATTATCAACAATACGTTTTCGCTTCATTTTCCTTTTCCTCCATCAAACACAACCTGATTAAATACAATTTTTTTTTCTTTATTTTTTTTTTTTGGAAGAAAGAAGCCTTTCTTCACCCCCAGGCGATGATTTTTGAGGGATTTCTCTCTTTTTTTTTTATAATAAAAACAAGAAATCTCGTGAGGCTTTTTTTTCTATATTGATAGTAGAAGGCTTCCTTTTTTTTTTCTATCGAGAGAAAACTGGCGTGAGTCTTTCCTATTCTTCGTATTCTCTACACATCACTGGTAGTTCTATATTTATAGACCACGTGTCACCAACAGGTGTGAGATACTTTATTTATTCAGAATAATGTACTTGAAGATAATAAACTGCTAAACTGCCAATTGAATCCAAAGGAGAATAGGAATAAAATATCTTTTATATTTTTACCGAAATCTGAAAAATAAAATCCAGTTGTTACACACTCTTCGGGGTTCTTTAAGCATTTTAACGCTTAAATTATTATCAATTAAAAAAAAAAGAATAAATAAATATAAATTTAATAAATATAAATAAATATAAATAAATGTAATTAAATGCAAATAAATATAAATAAATGTAAATAAATGTAAATAAATATAAATAAATGTAAAAAAATATAAATAGATTTAAATAAATACGAAAAATAAAAAAAGGAAAACGGAAAATTTGATAGAATAGGAAATTTGCGTTACCAGTGAGTTTATCTCTGATGAGTTTGCAGCTCTCAACTTCGCCGATACTGGAGAACAGTGACCGGATTTCCTCCTGGGTCATTGTCTGCGGCAAATAATTTACAATCAAATTTGTCTTGGATTCCTCCTGTGAAGTTTGGCCAAGGGTCGAGCCCCCATTTTGTTGTACTGTATCCATTCCGTTTGCCATCATTGCACTCTTCTAATACGTCACCTAACTACGTAAGAAATCTGAAAGCAAACGATTATTTACATTAGACTTCAATTTTCATTTAAAAAAAAAATATTCAAAACAATTAATAATTTTTTCTTTGCTAGAAAAATATTCTTCCGAATATATAAAAATGAAAATAAAAATAATAATAATAAACATAATAACTGAGTAATAAATAAATAAATTAAAATTAATAAATAAATTCATTAATTAATTAATTAATAAATTCATTAATTAGTAAATTAATAAATTCAAAAAATAATAATTTAATAAATAAAATTAATTAATTCAAAAAATAATAATTTAATTAATAAATTAATTAATTCAAAAAATAATAATTTAGTTAATAAATAAATTTGAAAAATAATAATTAAAAAAAAAATTTTTTTTGTTATAATTTAAAAACATTTTTGGAAAGATTATAATTTCTCTGAAATAAATCAATAATTAATAAATTTGACCTTCTGTATTCGCTTCTTTCCTCTCATATACATCAAAATAATATGTATACTTCTGAGATTGAAAGAGGTCATTGAACTCTGATAACAGAATTCACGCTAAAAGGGAAAAAAATAAATGACAAATGCGGATCAGAAAAACTCGTCGCCAAAACACAAGTACACTTGAAATTCTCAGTATAATTAATGTCAAAAGTAAGCCACAAGAGAACTTTTTTTTTCTCTCCAACGTTGCTAAGAAATTATTTCCAGAGAGTGTTTTCGTTGAATAGAAATTGAGAAGAAATTCAAGAATTGTCTCTATAATAAAGTGAATATATTTACAAAACATCACAATTTCCAAAAAAAAAAAATTATTAGGATAATTTTCCACAAAATTGAAATTTCCTACTAATTTTACTTTTTTTAAAATCTATTTTCCTACTAATTTTACTTTTTTAAAAATCAATTTTCCTACTAATTTTACTTTTTTAAAAATCAATTTTCCTACTAATTTTACTTTTTTTTAAAAATTAATTTTATTATCTAATTCTCTCCTTTTGCTGTAAAAAATAATTTCGAAATCTAAATATCTAAATAATTTGAATTAATTTCTGAATAATTCGAATTTCTAAAAAAGAAAAATTCCTCCTCGAAATTGATAAACATTTCCACCACCATTTTCCACGATTTTCGTCAAATTTTTCCCGCATTATATTCCATTTAAACGAACCAGCTGGTTGAGAAAAAAAAATACATAATTTTAAAAGGACAGTGAACCGAGACCCCTGAAAAAATGCATTTGAGATCTGCTTGTTAGATCCCCCCCTGAAAAAAAAAGTTTTCGTCCTATAAGGGAACCTGATGCCTTGATACAATATCCTTCCACATTTTATATACACTCGATAAACGTGGCTTGTGTAAAACTCGCCCTTAATACCTGTGTGTGAGTATGTCTGTGTAAAGTAGGTTTTGAACAGGGGGGATGAAAAAAAAGGATAGAGAAGATATGGGGAATTATGAGACTCCTGCACAGTAGTAAAGGATGTAGGGGGGAATACTTTTAATAGGGAGAGAAAAAGAGAGAGTGAGAGAGAGAGAGAGGGAGGAAAAAGAGGAAAGAGGATTGCATACTCACAGCTGCTACACACATGACAGCCGGCACGAGCCATTGGAATATATTATGCACCTCCTTTTTTCCCCCCCTTATATACAACAATTCTATTTCCTTCTGAAACCAAATTACTCAGCGTTATTGAATATTTCAATTTTATTTTCCTTTTACTTCCCGAAAATAATACGAATTTCACTCAGAAAATATCTCTATAATCATCTAGAGAATAATATCTCTATAATTTGGAGAAAAAAAAATTGTTTTAATAATTAGGGCAAAAAGTAGTTTTAATAGCGACAAAAAAAATTATTTTTTTATTTACTAATTCAATAGGAGCAAAAAATTTACAAATAATTAGAAAAAATCATCACTGCAACATTGACAGCTGAGTGCTTAAGAAAATATGTATTTTCAATTTAAAAGCAAAATGAATAGAATTTTTTTTTTAAAAACAAACATTTTTCTTGAAAATTTAAAACAAAATGTAATTTCTAAATCTACTAAAAAAGGGGGCGGAAATAAAAAATAAATTCAACATCTGTTAAACATCTCAAGATATGACGGATTAAAACGATCATTTATCAGATACAAATTTACCGACTAACACACTTCGATGGACCTTTTTTTATTCCTCCAGGTATGGCATTTCAGTCCTAGACCTACAGCAATAATTTATACTTTCCTTCATCCCTTATGACGTATGTATCAGCTGCCCTTTAAGCCCCCCCATTTCCTTTGAACAACGATTTCACCACAAGGTACCACAAGGCATCACAAGGCACCACAAGGTGGTCGGACCGTGTGTTTTCGGAAAATTATACTTTTAAAAAACCGAGCATTTCCACATTTTCCAAAATGTCGAATTTAGACTCTTAAAAAAACTCAACATTAATTTAAATTATCGGGAAAATTCAATTTGTTATCGTAATGAATTGTTATGCCTGTCTCTTGAGGGTAAATCAATAAATTTCCTACATCTAGTGTGCATTATGTGGGTAAATTTATCTTGATTTCAATCGACTATATATACGACGAAAATGGCATATCAAAACCACAAGCGATGGTGAAAGCACGAGATGGAGGTACAGAGTCAGGAAACGATCGATAATAGACGCTCTCGGCATTTGTCGAATGAATACATTGTGTGTACACCTTAAAATTATCAATTCAATTTCGCGTAAACGAATTGTTTGGTCAATAATTTTCTACTTTAGCAATTTTTCCAAATTTTTCTATCATTTAAATATTATTATCGGTCATTTAAATATTTCTTTAATAATAAATTTAATATTTCCGAAGCATTACTCATTGACAAGTATTTACAAGAAAATTTAATATATTCACTACAGAATTTTTCTAAAGATATCAAATTGAGACGAAAAACGTAGCAAAATTGTTGCGAAGCAACATTTTGATACGTTTTTCGTCTTAATTTGATATCCTTAGAAATAGTGTAAATGTAAAAAAGTATAAAAATTTTAGAAAATAATCGAATTCTTTGGAAAAATTTTATAATACAAATTAAGAAAAAAATTGAAATATTACGTGAAATTTGATTGAAAATAATAATTTTGCAAAGATTTTTGTCAAAAAAATTTGAGAATAATTGAAATTTCTTCGAAGAATTTTATTATTTATGAAAATAATTGAAATTTCTTCAAAGAATTTTATTATTTATGAAAATAATTGAAATTTCTTCGAAAAATTTTATTAGTTATGAAAATAATTTGAATTCTTGTCAAGAATTTTATTAAAATATTTGAAAATAAATGAATTTCTCCTAAGAATTTTATTATTTATGAAAATAATTGAAATTTCTTCGAAGAATTTTATTATTTATAAAAATAATTGAAATTTCTTCGAAGAATTTTATTATTTATGAAAATAATTGAATTCTTGCAAAGAATTTTATCAAAAAATTTGAGAATGATTGAATTTCTCCTAAGAATTTTATTATTTATAAAAATAATTGAATTTCTTCGAAGAATTTTAATATTTATGAAAATAATTGAAATTTCTTCGAAGAATTTTATTATTTATGAAAATAATTGAAATTTCTTCGAAGAATTTTATTATTTATGAAAATAATTGAAATTTCTTCGAAGAATTTTATTATTTATGAAAATAATTGAATGCTTGTCAAGAATTTTATTAAAATATTTGAAAATAAATGAATTCCTGAGAAGATTTTTATTTTTTATAAAAATAATTAAATTTCTTCTAAGAATTATTTTATTTATAAAAATAATTGAATTTCCCTTAAGAATTTTATTATTTATGAAAATAATTGAATTCTTGACAAGAATTTTATAGAAAATTTTTAAAAATCCGAATTAAATTCTTTTGGAGAATTTTTTTTCAAGTTTTTTTTAATTAAAGGAGTTTCTTTAATAATTTGAATTGAAAATTTTGACAGTAATTGAATTTCATGAACAATATTCTTTAAGTTTTTAAAATAATCATGTTTTTTAATAATTGAAATTAAACAATTAAATAATGTAATTTTACTAAAATTTTCTAAAAAATAGTTAAATTTTTCTCAGAATTTTATTTACAAATTTCTAAAATAACATAATTTTTAATGAATTTTATTAAAATATAGAAAATAATTGAATTCTTTTGAAAAATTTTATAACAAATTAAAAAAAAATTGAATTATTTCGTGAAATTTGATTAAAAATTTTAAAAAAATGTAATTCTTTCATGAAATATTTTTAAAATTGTATAAAAAAAGTAATTGAATAAATTTTAAAAATTTTATAGACATAAAAATAATAAATATTACCCTTTATGCATTATTGCTAATTAGGAGCAGAATTTGTTTTTCAATAAATTAAATTGAAGTTACTTTTCAATCATTCGAGAAACTTCAAAAAAAGAAAATCAATTCTAAAATGTCATTCAATTGTTTTCCTTTTCAAACAATTAAATCAATAAATGAAACAATTATTGTCAATTTCCATCAAGATCCTCCGCGTGTTCTCATTATTTTTCCCTAGTCAATAAAAAGCTTCTCTGTATACAATAAAAAAAACCCGCAATTCATTTTTCGATATAAAAATTATTATTCCCCAACAATAAGAATTCGAACGCAAATCTACACTTGGCAGGTTTCAACACGTATAAAATAAATAAACAGCTTTGTTTACTTCAAAAAGTGCTGTGGTGCTACCAATGCATCAACCAAATTCAAAACAAATGAATGAATAATTTTCTAAAATAAATAAATCAAAATATTGCAGTTTGACTCATTTTTTTAATTACAAAATGTACCAAGAGATTAATGACTCGTAATGAAAGGATTGTTTATCCGAGGGGGGGTAATTACAACTTTGAGGCACTTTGATGAAAGTTCAGGGTGCAAAAGAAGGAGGTTAAGTTAAGGTGCGATTTGGTAGATTGTAGATACGATCTTCGGCTTGGTGGCCAGGTGGCCATGGCGACGGATCGTGAAAATCGCGTGGCT